AAATACGCAGTGTATACTGCACAGTCGAAATAAAAAAATAACAAATATATAAATAAAAACTAACGAACAGACAGAACTTTCGAACAGATTAACCAATACGACATTAATAATGACGAAATAAACATGAAGAGCCGCTGAAACTGATCAACTTTGAGCCAAGCACCAAAGATCTGAAATAAAGAACAAAAAAAGTGATAGTGGGCGAGAGAATTACAGAGTAATGATCATGAAGATCCGAGATGATAATCGAGGAGAGACCCACAAATCTCCCTATGTTTCTCACTAAAAGCAAATGCGCAAGTTGAATTCTTCATTATCAAACTGTATGTACGAAATGTGCTGCAGATCTTTTCAATTCCTCAATCCTCGGGTTGTGACTTTTGAGTTTTGATAGACAGATCAAAGGGTATAGAGAGAGAGAGATGGTGCTTTTTACACGGGAGTACCCGTGGGTCTCTTTTTTTAGATGCGGCAAATAAATAGACTTAAATTTATAATGACATGCACAAACTCAAGCTAAAATATCCAAAATTTATCCAATGAAAAAAAAAATATATTAAGTTTAGAATACCTAACAACCAATAAAAATATAATAATAGTAAATGATTGTTAATTGTAAGGTTCACACTTGGATCCAAAATAGACCTAAGAGTGAACTAGGTCTCTTTTTTTTATTGCCACATAAGCTAGATTAGGTCCACTTTTAATTGTATTGTGAAACATTTTTTTATAGACTAGGTCTATTTCCTACATGGCATGTGATATTTTTTAAAGAGACCCAAAACATTGTGGGTGCTCTAAGTAACGATGATGACGATTTTGCCACTATAGTTCAGAGCTTTTGTTAGGGTGATTTATTAAAAAAAATGAAAAATAAGTGGACAAAAAAAAAAAGAAAAAAAATGAGTAGCCTGAAATCAAAAACACGTATATACACAATATGTTTTTTTAATATAATTTTTTAGTAAAAAACGTATTCCTTGAATACGTGTTTAAATTAAATTTGTTTAATTATTTGAAAAATATATTGCCGAAATTGTATATCTAATTTTAATTTAAAACCGTATTTAAGAAATACGTTTTCTTAAAAACTCCAAATCAATTTGAAACCTTAAAGCCCTAAATTAATTTTAAACCCTAATTCAATTTACTATAATTAAATTTGAGTACAACGTATAACGGAAATACGTTTTATAAACACCTAAATCAATTTAGGTTTTATAAAACGTATTTCATTAATACGGTTTTTACCTTAAATAAATCATTAATTCATTTTTAAGAAAAAATTAAATTAAAATAAAACGTATAACTGAAATACGTTTTCTAAAAATTAATTTATGTTTTTGACACGTATTTTAGAAATACGGTTTCATAATATAATAAAAAAAAATGAAAACGTATTTGCAAAATACGGTTTCTGACAAAATATAAGTGCGAAAAAATTCTTCTCCTCCACCAGTCTGCGCGAACAAAATAGAGAGTAGAAAAAAAAAACCTCAATTCGATCTTCACCTCAAAAATAAAAAAAAAAAAATAAAAAAAAAACTTTTAACAAATCAATCGATTCAGAGAAGAGGTTAGTTGTTATTTTAATGTAATGTAATTACATTTTTTTTGTTGTTTATGAATGTGTAAGAAATATTTGTTGGTTTTGATGAGTATAGTTTAGAAAAGATTTATTGTTGATGTAATAGTTGTGTTAAATGATTATACATTGTTCTTGGATGATGGGTTTCGGTGTATGTTGAGAATTTTTCCGAAAATTGGATGATTTTTATTGTATGGTTGGATAATGAGAATTAAAGTTTTGGAGAATTGGTGATTTTTTATTTTATAAAAGAATTGGTGATTATTTTTTTTTTTTGGTTATTGTAGTATTAATTGGAAATATTTATCTTGATTTGAGTAAAAAAATCATTGAATTTTTAATTATTTTTTTTGTTGGGGATGATAAAAGAATAATTGAATTTTTTGGGAAATTATGTGTTGTTGTAAATGAGAAGTATTGAAAGTGTATTATATGTTATTGATGGATTATGAGTATTAAGGTTTGTGAGGATTATTTGATAAAAGAATTTGTGATTTTATTTTTAATGTTGTAGTATTAATTGAAATTTTAATTTTAGTAAAAAAAGTTTTGAATTTTATTTTTTGTTGCGGGAATGATAAAAGAATAATTGAATTTTTTTGAGTGTTGGGTTAGAAAGTATGTGTTGTAATTGGGAAGAATTGAAAATGTTTTTTGCAACAGGTATAAATGGCTTCTACCGGACCATACTTTGTTAATGTGTATTGGAATCATCCCAAGGAGTTGTTATATGCTTTTTCATCTTTTAAAAACTCTCCGGATGGTTCATTTAGCATTAGGAAGAAGATATCACTTGAACAATTGGTAGATATGCTTTATGAAAATTTTGGGTTTCGTCGAAATGGTTGGATAATTGAGGAGATTAGGTTACTGACTAACCAACCCTATGGTTCGTGGAATATTGGAAACCTGAATACTGATAGTGTTGTTCAGTGGATATATTATTTTCCTCCTTTCTCCTATGTGTATTTGCATTTAGAGTTGAAGCAGGTTATGCAGGCACCTACAGAGGTTACGCAGTTTGAGGAAGTTGCCCCTTTTTACGGGGGAGTGGCTGATGTTGAGGGTACATCCACTTCGCATGTTCGTAATTTTGACGAAGGGACAAGCTCAACAGTTAGAGAATGCGATAATGAGGAAGAAAGTGATGATGATTTCATTCCTAGTGAAGACAATTTCACATATGATACCTCGAAAACGGAATCGGATAGATCAATAAATGAGGAGAGTGAACCAGAATTTAATGAAGAACACCCATTTCCTAGTACCGGTCAACACGTGTATCGCGAGATGGGTGAGTGGGACCCGTCGTGTGTAGACAGGGATGAGCATGCTCTGCTACGTTGGAATGGAAATGTCGAGACTATTCTTTTGGGTACTGTTTTCCGGTCCAAGGAAGAAGCACAGATGGGTATCATGAATTGGAACGTTAGTAGGTTGAGGGAGGTTAAGACAACATATTCGAATAAGAAATCATTCAAGGTGGTGTGCAAATCTAACGAAGATCAACCTTGTCTGTGGAGGGCTCGAGTGACGCACTGCACACGGGTTCATGAACTGTGGGAAGTAACGGAATGGACTGAGAGGCACAGTTGTATGCAAGAAGTCGAAAAAAACGACCACAGAAATGTAACCGCCACAATGATTTCAAATCTTGTCATGACCAAGATTCAAAAGAAACTCGAGTACAGTGTTAGCCTGATCCAGGCGGATGTTAAATATTGTTGGAAAGTCGATGTGAGCTATAAGAAAGCATGGCATGGGAGGAAAAAAGCCATCGATCGTTTGTATGGCACTTGAAAATCGAACTTTGCACAACTCCCTCAGTAAGAAAAATTTTATTACAAATGCACGTGTTATTTGTCACTATGTTTATGTATTGACGATTACGTTTTGTAACATGCAGGTTTTTTGCGGCGCTTCAAAGAGCGAATTCCACTACAGTTGTACAGTGGGATTAGCAGGGTGGGGAAATGGCAGCCCACTATCAGCACAGAGAATTCAAATTTATTTTCTGGGCGTTTGGTCCCGCCATTCAGACCTTCCAGAGATGCCCGTCGGTAATTATCATGGACGGCACACATTTGCGTGGCTCGTAGGGGAAGTTTCTTGTGGCCGTTACACAGACTGCGAAAAAGCGACTATTGCCAATCGCCTATGCAATTGTGGATGAAGAGAGCAGGGAAAGCTGGTCATTTTTCCTGACAAATCTCCGGCAACATGTTGTCGGCGACAGACAGATATGCTTTCTTTTGGACAGGGATGCGGGCTTACAGAGTGTCGTGGAATCATTTGAAGCTTGGCAAGAACCAACTGCATATCACCGGATTTGTCTTCGACACCTTCGGAGCAATGTGGTTACTAGGTTCAGGAATAACAAAATCCGAAATTGGTGTTGGGAGTTGGGTTCACAGGTTTCAAAGCAAAAATTTCAACAGATACGAGAGCGGCTTTCGGATTTTAATCCGGAAGCATACGATTACCTGTTCGGAATTCCTCTGAACAAGTGGACCCTGTTTGGAGACGGAGGACGTGGATGGGGTACATTGACAACCAATATGTCCGAGAGTTACAACAACGTCCTGAAAGGTGTTAGGTTCTTGCCCTGCCGAGCTTTAGTACACGCCACATTCATGAAAACTCTGGACTTGTTTGAGCAGGAACAAAAGAAGTCCACGAGATGCAGTAATGTCATTGCTAGTGCCCACTATGCCACTTATTGCGAATTGGAGACTACGGCTGCAACTCATAAGGTGCAATGTGCGAACGCGGAGAGGTCCCTGTACAAGGTGACAACCGGTCTACGGGCTCATGGTAGAGGGGACAAAAAGTATATGATTTATTTATTTATTGTATAACTTTTATTTTTTTATTTTGGTTCATTAAAATTTTTAGTTGTTTATAAATATAATTCAATGTGGAAAAACAGGTATAAGGTTTTGTACGACCGGATGCGTTGTAGTTGTCTGAAGTGGCAGACACATAGGAAACCATGCTCTCATGCTATAGTTGTGTGTCGTCAACTTGGGGCTCCACCAAAGTTCTTGTACGATCCCCACTTTTGGACGGACAATTGGGTAGCTCAATTTTCTAATTGAAGTTTTGCTCCGATTGGTGATCCAGACACATGGCCGCCGGTCGGATGGAACTTACTACCGCATTGGGAGAGGATCATCACGAAGGCTGGACCCGGTCGCGCGCAAACGAAGCGTCATCGCATGCAAATGGATCGTCGGGCACGCCGCCAAAATGATAGAGGACAGTGTAGTAGATGTGGTAATCCAGAGCATCTTGTGGATGACTGTCCGTCCTCACATACTCGCACTGATAGATCTAGACTCCGTGATGAGTGGGGAAACTAGTTTTTTTAGTGTTTATTTTTTTTATGTCGGACTATTTTTTTTTTTATTGTTTACTTTGATTTGTTGGATTATGTTTGGATGATATATTTTTGTTATGTTGGACTGTATATGAGTTGATTTGTTTGTGTATTTTTGGTGTAGATGATTGTTCTGAATATGTGTAACAGGTTTTTAAATGGTGAAACAATAGAAAGAACAAGTTTTTTTTTTTCATATAACAGTTAAAAACGTATTTCTCAAATACGTTTTCAAAAACATTAAATATTAAAAAACGTATTTCTGTAATACGTTTTCTATATACAAAAAAAAATAATAATATAAAAAAACTCGCGACTTACACCTACCCGCGAGGTGGTCTCGCGCGAGCAAGAATGGCCTGCAGTTCTGGGCTTGCCCTTGGCTTGCTCGGTTTAGATTTCTGGGTGGGGCGGCTCGGTCGGCTTTGAACAACACGTTTTCCCATGTTCGTCGAAAGGAACCTATTTAAATTAATTATGTGATTTTAATTAGATAATATATAGTATATAATATATAGTATATAATATATAACATATAGTATATAGTATATAAACAATATAANAGTATATAACATATAACTTATAGTATAGAACATATAACATATAGTATATAATATATAACATATAGTATATAGTATAGAACATATAGTATATAACATATAGTATATAGTATATAACACATAGTATATAGTATATAATATATAACATATAGTATATAGTATATAACATATAACATATAACATGTAGTATATAACATCTAACATATAGTATATAACATATAGTATATAGTATATAACAGATAGTATATAGTATATAATATATAACATATCTCTCTCTTACATATACGAAAAAGTGTGAGGAGTTGTAGTGCTGACACGTGGCGTTTTTTTGCAAACATAACTGCTCTTCATTTTCTGCTATTTTTACGACCACTGCCATTGCTTTTACACTAAAATTATTGGACTGCCCTTGGAAGTTGAGTACCGGAAAATCTGGCCCTTTTTTCTGGACTTTTTCACGTTTGTCTGTCCCTCGAGACCAAAAAGGAGTCTTATTTTTAATCTTTATGCACGATCTTCCACTCTTCCTCGATGACCGAAAAAGACAGAAAATAGAGAAGAGAGGTTCATTCTTCTTCATTTTTCAATCCGAATTAAGGGAGACGACTTTTTGGGCTTCCATCCACATAGGAGGTTTTTTTTTTTTTTTTGCCATTTTC